GGGGTCCCAGGCTATTTTAATACATCACTTGAATTGATTACTTGAGATGGCGATTCTGAATTTCTTGTGGTGTGGCTTGTGTTTCAAGTGACTGAGGTGAAGTAGATGCCTGATTTCCTTGTGTAAACGGATTTGATTGACTCGACAATGAACATAACTCAATGTACTTACGTATGTGATTCAGTTTTTCTTCCAAATCGCAGCTTAGCTGTTTCTAGTTGCTTTGGATCGGTGATTTTTGCTGCAATCTTTTCGTCTAGTTCTCGTACTAATTGCTTTTTCCTTGTTAGTTGCTCCAGTGTCGTCAGCGCTATTTCGTCTACTTTCGAAGGCTCTACTTTGAGGATTTCGTTCTCTTTATTTAACACTTTCGATAGATGAGATTTATGCCCTCTTCGAGACGCTTGTAGTCGCGCTATTTCCTCCATCCTGGTCACGGCACCAAATGTTGTGTAAAGCGGGGTCCGATATGTGTATTGAGCAGGAGAAAATGGACTACAATCGACGTATTTTATCAGTCTTTAATTAATGAAAACATAAAACTACTAAAACATGTATTCGTACAATGTTGATAACCATTTGGCGGGGAGACGCGCCCGCGCTCTCAATGTATATTGCAATGTTTACTTAGTGTAAGAAGAGTCCATGACATACTGTCCGAAAAATAATGTTGCTACAGTTAACTATTTGCAGATCAAACATTGACTAAAAATGCTTACTCAGCATTTTTCCAAAATTTTGGTCAGCAATATTTCAGCAACAATTGACCGTACGTGATTATCGTAATATAGTTTTTTTGTACACATGTGATGCTCTATCTGGCAGTATTGTCAAATTTTTGAATTTCCAAAATTTTTAGTTTTCTCATCTATGAATGACGTCATACATAGATAAAAGCAATTTTCTCGAGACTTGCATGTTTGCTGAAGTACAACATTGGTGTTTTACCATGGAAATGGATCCACTCAACATATAATGAAATCAAAATATGGTCTCCGTGGGGGAGGGGAAACGAAACGAAACTTCCAGCTTCATTCTCGTGGGTGGCTGAGGGCCTATAACAATAAAGTTATATTATATAACTTATTACTTATAATAATTAGTCGCCAGTTGGTCGGTATGCTGGGATTAAAATAAATAATAATGAAGGCTTTAATAAAACCTTCATAATAAAATATTATCAAAATAAAGAGAAAAGTGAGAAGAATCCACTGGTATACGGCCTAAAAAGTGAAAACCAACGATACCAAAGTTATCAAGGTCAAACGTAGTGCACTTTTAGTTTGTTTAATTTGTCAATGAGCGATTTGTCAAATGTTAACAATGCAATTTAGCTTGACTTTCAAAGGCCATAAATCCCTAGAATAATGTTGTTTAGTTAATACATTTGACATCCGTAAGAACAATTGTTTTCGCTTAATCGAACAGTGGTATTTTTGTCCTTAGACCTTAGTGGGATAAAACCAGAGATAACTCGCAGCAAAAAGTCAATCGTCACCACAATATCAAATCCAGACATGGAAATTCATCCAAAAGCACGATGTCACAGACGATGTTTTTGCAAACGTTGTAGAAACAGCCAATCACGAAGCATTCTAAACCGGTCTGACCGGTTCCAGGCGCGCAAAGCAGGTTGGAGGAAAACAAAAGAAATTTTTGATTCTGTGGTTGATAGAAATAACTCATAAATACTCCTGCGGAGTATCCGTGAGTTATTACATAGAAATTAGTTTAAAGACAAGTTTTTTTAAAGAATTAATACCGCAACAACAGCGAAAAGAATATCTTCATTGATAATATAAATTGTTCAAAAGAGTTTGCAACGAAAGACAAATGAATTTGCAGTCAACAAGCACTTACTATACTACCAAACATATCTGTATAATATATCTGAGTTTTTTCTGTGAAATATAACGGTTCTAAAACCATTTCTTTCACTTCGTCTTCGAGTTGTATTAAAAACAATAAGACATAAGTGTATATATCACAAACAACATATTCACCTGAGTACACAACACCAACACAGAAAAAAATCATATTACTAGATTACATTGGTATCGAAGGAACTAGATTCTGTTTCGAAATATCACTTACTCGAATCGTCCTGACCGCGTAGCTCAGTTGGCAGAGCATTGGGCTAGTATTCCAAAGGTCGTAGGTTCGATTCCCACCGTGGCCAGGCATATTTAGTTGAAGCTCGCCCGGTGTGGATATGCGCTCAGAGTAACATCACAAACAACATATTCACCTGAGTACACAACACCAACACAGAAAAAAATCATATTACTATAGATTACATTGGTATGGAGGGAACTAGATTCTGTTCCGAAATATCACTTACTCGAACCGTCCTGACCGTGTAGCTCAGTTGCCAGAGCATTGGGCTAGTATTCCAAAGGTCGTAGGTTCGATTCCCACCCGTGGCCGGGCATATTTAGTTCAAGCTCGCCCGGTGTGGATATGCACTCAGAGTAACATCACAAACAACAAAAACAAAAGTATTTCAAATTTTCAAGGCTAAGCGGTTTTTGGCCAAACAAATTGTCAAGACATTGTAACAGAGGATAATTAATTAATATTGCTTCAGTTAATGGCTATTAGTATACAAATAATGAATGTTTATTAGTGCTATGGTAAGAATATTTTCATGAGGTGAAAGATGGAATGTTCCATTCAACGAGGCGACAGCCGAGTTGAATGGAACATTCCATCTTTCACCTCATGAAAATATTCTTACCATTGCACGAATATAAACATTCATTATTTGTTTTATATTAACACAGAAAACACCAGATATTACACGTAAACATCACCTTCTAATACTAGCCTAATTATGTTAACCTAGACACTAACCAGACCAGAAACATTATTAACAGTATTCCTATTAATTTACATATGACCTTTAAGGCACTGAATAACTATAAATTTAATCTTCACAAAACTAATACCCTACTGGATAAGCTTGAGCAGCACAAGGAGATAAATACCACCCCAACAGGCCTCGTAACTAAGGTGGAATGCAGGGTCAGATTACCGCATGACCTACTCAAACTATGCATGGGATGAAGCCCTCACTAACACATCTAATACCCTCCTTGATCTGCCTCGTCTCCAGTCGCTTGCTATCAATTAATTTGCAGTGCACGCGCTGATCTATATATTACTGATATTTAAATTTGATCTATATAGAGGAGCCTGCGGAGGTGGCAGCTCCTTGATATACTAATTGAGAATCATAATCGTATTAAAATTAATCTCTTAAGCAACATAGATAATTCCCACCAATATATATATATATATATATATATATATATATATATATATATATATATATATATATATATATATATATATATATATATATATATATATATATAGTAACGCTCCAGACAAACTAACGGCCTCTAATATTATACAGGTCACTAATGATATTGGTGATAAAACTAATAAAGTTAGAACCCTCCGCAGATTTAAACCGTATATAAACGCCATAATAACGCGTCGCATGGTGGTTCTTATACACCACCATCTTATGTGTCGACGAAAACCACTTCCTCTACGAAACCCCTATCAATACTCCGTCTCGCTCTATTCCCAACCTATAACCAGCAACAATTATATTCCCGTCTCAACTACCCAAACATTAACCCCACTAATGAGCTGCACCCCCAATAATATTAATCCTAATACCAACAACACAAGGAGAATTAATTCAACAGTTGGTTCCTCATCTCCTCACATATTACAGCCTTCCCATCTAGTTCCCCCGGCTAGAGTCAGGTCACAACGCTCAACCATCACCAGAAATATGTCTAGCCCACGTACTCCTACACCTCCCCTTCCCTTTCGCACCTAACATGAGGAATAGCAATAATAACACAACCACTAACGTAACTAATTCTAATTTGGAGGATTTTCTCTCGCGCATCCATCTGCATGCCCAGCTATCATCTGAACATGAAAAACAATACGAAGCCCCGCTAACTAACAAGCTAACCAAAACTAAATTACGTAAATATTTGCGCACTAAACGAAATAACAATAATTACCTTTTTAAAAGTAAAAGTGCTATTCTCTCTGAATAGTCAGACAGATAGAGGATCAAACTTAATTACGGAAAACTTACCATATCGTGAGACAATTCCATTTTGCCTTCATATTGTGCCCTGAAGGCTAGTAAGTACGTTTCTGTATGTTGGCCGCGTTAAAATTTCTTGTGGGCTCCTGCTGACACGTTTTTCTTCAAATTTTGTATTAAACTCTATTGCAGTTAAAAAATGTGAAATTTCTGATACCTTTCTAATATAAATTACTTTCATCAATAGAAAGCTAACAAAAAACAACATATAAGACATTTAAATGGTTAGTTGAGATTTTCAAGCGGTTTTCGAGTTATTGCCGTTTCAAATGTGAAAAATAAGCCAAAATCTAGCAAAATTCCTGGGGACTAGTCTGAAAACAAGCATTCAACAGCTCATAACTCAAGAAGAACTTGAAAAACCCGGGTAACCGTTTAAATGTCTTATATGTAGTTTTTTGCAAGCTTTCAAACGATGTAAGTCATTTGTGTTAGAAATGTATTTGAAATTTCACATTTTTAAACTGTAATAGAGTTTAATACAATATTCGAAGAAAAACGTGTCGGCAGGAGTCCACAAGAAATTTTAACGCGGCCCACGATATGGTAAGTTTTTTCCTTCTATCTGCCCGACTAGAAATTAAAACGAAACATATTAAGGATAGTGTGGCGAATCTACCAAACACACCCCTTGACAAATCCACCATTCAAATTTTATCGAAAGGTCTTAAATTCATCCCCACACCACAACCCACTAATAGAAAGATTATATACAGGTCCTATCAGGACTTTCGACGAAAAATGCATTTACGATATTTCTTTAAAGAATTTCCTAATAATAATATACCCTCCCATCCGTTCAAATTAAAAAGTGACTTTACACCTCCGCTTCATGATAATGAAAACCTCCTGGAATTTATTTCCCTAGTGTATCAGGAGATACACTTGCACTCAAATACCCCCACTAACATACATAAAAACTATTCAAGAGAACAAATATCTGCATTAAACGATTTGCATTAATTTAAAACGACAACTTGATTGATAAACCAGCAGACAAAGGTGGGGCCATTGTCATCTGGCCAAGAGATGACTATATACATGAGGCCACTAAACAACTTGCTAACACCACCCATTACAATCATATTTCAACGAATCCCATCCCTGAACTAATAACTAGAATACGACGTACAATTTGTTCATAATAACCACAAATTGGGACAATTTGATTACACTACCTTTAAATTTCTATTGCCTCCCACACCAACTAAAACTCCCACCCTTTATCTACTACCTAAAATTCATAAAGCTGGCCACCCGAGTAGACCTATCATCTCTGGATGTGATGGC